TCAGCCGATCAACTCCCGAGAGGATCACATCACGAGCCTGTGACACACCCGAGGCAAAGACCTCCAAGTCAGGTCGATGATTCGGCGTGCTGCAATTTGTGTGCCCACTTTCGGTTAGAGGTGTTGAGGAGCCGAGGATGTTCTGAATCTGATCCTCAACTGAACGCAAACATTCAGCGATTTCAGCCGGACGAGCTGGCCGACAGGTAACGGGTGAGCCGGAGCGCTGCATTCCATGACGCAACAATTCGGCAGGATTATTGAGGCTGTCGTCGTCTTCAGAAGTTGACTCGGACGTATAGCCTACTGCATCAAGAACGAGATGAAGAAGACGCAAGAGAGAGTACTGCAGCCGACGAAGTTCATCAGGAGCACCTTGTTCTACTATTGTCGGGAAGAAGGCCTCGACTGTCTTGGCCTCTTTCATGCCTGTAGAGGCAACACCACGATCCAGTTGTCTGTAATGGCCATCATTGGCAACAGATGCGGCCACGACGGAAGGCATCAAACGGAGTTCTGCCTCGGCTAGTGAAAGGCGTAAACCCTGATTGCAGGCCTGGTAAAACACACAAAAAGGAATTGCGCTTGACGTAATTAAAGGGTATGATATAGGGTAGACGGGGTTGCTGCTAATTATCAAGACTGGAATCCTACGAAAATAGATTTTTAAAAATTGATTCACAGAGTGAGTAAAACGCGAAGATCAGGTTGAGTTGAAGATGACAAGAAACTCGTAGATTCGCTATCTGACATACAGTGGACGACAAAAAGAGGTCTAATACGGTGTAAAAGGAATAACAACGTAAGCTTAAGAATTGTATCTTTTCATAAACGGTCTTGATGATATTCGCCATGCAGCTCGGCGGCAGAACTGGCTCCAGTGGCGCCAGCCACCTGCACTCTCTCCCGTTCCCGGCCTTCTTGACTTGCTCATGATACCGGAGGAGAGTAAGGGTGGTAAATGGAGCGCGAGTCTACACTCACTATAAACAAATCATGCGCAAGACACCGCCTCTGCGTCCACTAGGATATGGACACAGTCGGCAACGACCGTCGAATTGGCAG